CATTCATTTAAAAATAATCAAAGGCAGCCTAATTCAACATTTATTTACGCAGATAACGTTTTATAATAAAGAATTGAAAGCAGATTAAAATCTAAAATCTATCAAATCAAGCATAAATGTAGTTATGCGAATGTTAAAATTTAAGGATGTGCAGATTCACCAGTCTATATCAGTTCAGTGAGCTAAATGAGATGAGAGAAACTCTATTGATCCCCAAAGTGAAATCAGTTATTCCAGAGTCCTGAGTGTGGACTAGGGATGTGCACAGGCCCTTGAGTACTTGGCTACCCCTTCAAATACTGAAATTACAATTCAGCTATCTGTTACGTTTCATCACAGGAAAATGGAGTAAATATACAGACCGGCTATTTGGTGAAACGCCGGTTTTATTTTTTAACAGGGCTGTACAAGGTGGCTAGTTTGCTCATACATGTGAGTGTGTATATATATCGTGTTGCACTTTACTAGTAAAACTCATGAGTGCCTTAACGTGTTTTTGTTATTAAGGATGTTACTGTAAAGGCAGCGATAGTGTAGCTTTATCGCTGTCTAGACTAACTACACTAGTTGATGGTAGCTAGGTCCAACAAACGTGTTGGCACATCGTCCACTGAGGAGAAAAGACGAAGATTAGCATCCAGGGTTGTACCCTTCAGCTCTGGTAACTTCACTCAAAAACCTGCCGATTTCCTGTGGCTGTTTAGGAATAATAAAATATTTAAGTATTCCTCAGTGTGCTTCTGAATTTTTGTGCAACACCAGTGTGGTCACGTAAGAAGGTCAGTCTACAGTCCTATGTTGATTTTGACCAAAGTCACCAAACATTATAACCCTGCAGTGCCTTGTTTTCTTTGGCACAGTTAACCAATGATCTCTCTATTAACTGTTACAGGTAGCTGGATATCAATTTTTTGGAATGCACGTCTCTAATGTGGAAAAAGATGGAAAGCTTGATAAAAGTTTGGCAAAATGCAAAACGAGTTAGGCAGCAGCAAACTACCTAGACATTCATGACCTATTCAATGTGACTGCATGGACTCTGGGGTGTAGACAGTGTGTGTTTCTTCAGGCTCTTAATGCCAGCCCTATCGAAACCATTGATAAATGTGTTTAACCCACTTGCCAACAGCTCTGCATGGTCCAAATCAATTACTGAAGGGATTGGATTCTTTATATGTATGACCTGATTGAGGATATTACTTTTTTAAGTTGACTGATTTGTCTTGTTATAATTTGAATTTCTTAGGACAAATGAGTTTCCAAATAGGACGTCATGGTCATCGAACTGTGAGAGCACCTTTTAATGTATCCTATATTTTTTTCCCTTTTCCTCCAAAGAACAAGCTTTAAGTTCTTTCTTCAAACTCAGCCCTGCTGGTCAAAAGCAAAGCATGATTTTTAAAGGGATTCTGTTTTTCGCAAAGCTGTACTTTTGCCCTCTTTGAGTCAGAGAGGCGGGGCCCCATCAGTAAATTTTTACCCCAAAAACAATTCATGGTCTGTTAAGACTTATTTTTTCTTTTTGAGCTATATCGCATATTTTGACTGCTGTTGCTTTACTACATTTTCTCTGCAAATTTAAGAGGTTAATATTTTAATTCTGTTTAAGTTTTAGATTTCAAAGTTATGTTCACTAATAATTATTTCTAGGGATCATATGTGCTGATACAAATATGATTCACACATTTTCTTTTCAGCCATACTTGTTACAGCCATGTACTAATGACAGGCTTTTGTTGTCTGTCGTATAATGACACAAGCTCACCATCGCCCCCTACTGCGAAATCTGTCTTTACGATACTTTACATTGGTTTGGAAATATCACATTTAATTTGTCTCCACTCTGAGTCTGTGGACAACCCACATTTAGCCCAAGATTTCTCATGGTTGTCCCCAGTTAGTTTATCTTCCTCAAATACTGATGCATACAGATGGTACAAAAATATCCCCGGCCTTAAAATGTATACTGAGGTTCGGATTGCGGTATGGTCTTAAAGGTCCAGATTGCGTTTGTTTCTTGCAGACTGTAGACCACTGTGATAAATGGGAGGGCCATTTGTGTGTGGATTTGGACGGATTTGCTTCTCCGTGGTTTTGGGCTGCTGCATGTAGAGCTCCTCACCAGAGAATGTACACTCTTGGAAACTCTGGTTTATTTGAGAAAGGAATTGGCGAACATTCAGTTTTCTTTTAGTCTAGTTTCCCATTTAATGATCTCCTTTGCTAGTTATATAGGTAAGACAAGGTCATTAATTTTTGCCAGGCTGCTTCTGGCTGTTATACTAGTGAATGCTGATTGTTTATATTTCTGTCTGAAACAGGAAGTAAAAGCAGGAAGATGGTGGAATTGCAGAGATTGTGGTGTTTTAACAGAACTGACAACTTTCTATTTTTTTCTTTGTGTGTAATTTTTTTTTCTTTATTTGAAACGTTATGAATATGATCAATCGCTAAACTTTCTACTCTGTCTTTCAGAAGCTAATATTTAGGTTATTTGCTGAATAATATTTTAAGAGCGTAAATGCTTACCAGTCGTGTGAACAGGTTCACTTTTTTTGAATTTGCAAATTTACTTTCCATAGCTTTTGCATGAACATAGTCTTATTTGTTAGACTTCCAGGATACACACACTCTTGTATAGAGTCTTAACAAGTGCATTAGCATACACTGGCATTTAGGACCCTCATTAGCAACACTGATTTTGATGGGATGTAAAAGGACCATGGTTGCAGGTTGATGGGTGACAGACTAGGCTGAAATCAGCAAAGAACACTAGCTCAAAAGGTTATGTAGAACTAGAACATTGCGGTACCAAGGTACTAGCAACAAAAAATTTAAATTCCTTCAAAGATATTACAAACCCGGAATGAAATCCTGTAGCGTCCTCTTGCTTAGGGTAAAGCTGAGGATTAAAATGTAGAGGGTTAAAAAAAATACATGCCTAAAAACAAACCAAAAAATTTCTTTTACTAAAGTGGTAGCAAAAAACAGATTCAGCACCACGCTAGCATCCTCTCAGGAGGCTAAGCTCGAGATCTGTTATTGTCAGGATTGATTCAGCTTCAGCAGCTGCAGAGAATTAAACCCTGGCGGCCATCTTGAGTCCCTGCAGCGAGAGACGCTCGTTTCCTCGCTGCCTTTGCTGTGGGGGGAGGGGAGCGCAGAGGATATGTGCCATGAACAACAATATTGGAAAGGGGATGGTGCTAGTGACTAGCAGCCATTTTTTGGGGAAAAGTCTTTCTGTGGAGCCAGGAGAGAGGAAATGGAGGAAGGAAGGAGAAGTCTAGTGCCTTTACATTATTTCTGTCCTACAGGACATTTTTTTTATGCTTGTGTAAGCACTTAAACGTATGAATAGCTGTGCAGGTTCCAGCAAGGTAAAGGACTGTTTGGGCAAGTCTGAATTTGTGTGGTGGGTCACTGAGATCAGTTGCTCAGGTTACGAAGTTCCCTTGGTACATTTCTTCTTTCCTGCAAACCATGCACTTTTGCTTGCATGCTAATGGCTAATCCTGCAAGTGACCTTGCACTTTACAGTCCCTTTGAGCTGATCCCAGGGTTTGTGTCTCAAACCAGGTTGACCTCAAATGCAGGTTTCCTGCAGTGAAGTGTCGTTAGCAGCATTAGCGTCTAGTAAAAAAAGCTAGCCCGTCTCATTCCTTGACCTTCAACACGATATAAGTAAAAATGAAATTTCTGAGCTGGTTGCCATGGACACCAGACCTTGGGGATGGAATGCAAACGTTCTGACAGGAAGCGAGAGAGGCGCTGTGCAAACAGTGCAGGAGCAGATGTTGCTATATTTAGGGGCCAGGCCATGCGCACTAGCACAAGTGCAGCTTGCCCATGCAGCAGTGCAGCAGCAATGCAGCGACTTGTTGGCTGTTTCACGTGTGAAGGAAAGAGCACGGTTTAAGCTAGCAGTGCATGTCATTTTCACTGGTAGATGTGACGTGCTAGCAGAGATGCACAAATGAGGGGGATTAGCATTAAGATACAATAAATTTTATTGTATAACTTAAGTTAAATTATACACAACATTAGAAGGCTGCTCTTGCATGTAAATGCAGGGATCATGTCCTGTGCGCCTTTATTAGGGAGACGTTTATTTTCATCTGTTGAGGTAACTATGGCCAACACAGGGCAGATTTGACAGATGGAATGAGTTATGTGTAGACTAATTTGTATGCAGGCTAGAGCTTCAGTTATTCTGGGTGCGACTCTGGTGTTCTGCCTATGGTGGTCTATGTTGGCAAGGAATAGAAGCACAAAGATAAATAACTTTTGATGAAATTAGTCATTCTAGCCACATGGAGGACATGCATTTTTAATCTTCTGGCTCCATATGAGAGCAAAAATGCAAACAAGTGTTGATAGTGGAACAACGTTAAAAATGTGAAGTTAATTTAAGAGATTACTGTGAGTATGATTTTGTGTAAAGTTATGATAGTTAATTTTTTACATGTGCCAAAGACTGTTTAGTGCTATCATGACTCTACATAGTCTGACTACTACAAAAATATGATTGTGTTAAACAGTCACTGTTAGCAGTACCGATCCTCAATTTGAACTTGTGCAAATATGTACCACATTCTGCTAGGAAAAGACATGTAGACTGAAATGTACACTTCAGTGGAGCTGTTACAGTTGCAATACTGACCTTTTCCCTCTAAAAACAGTAGTTGTTGCAGTATTTGGCAGGGATTTCTTAGTCATTTAGCCATTATTGCTTAGTCATTGGACTGTTGGCCTTTTGCACTATTCTTATTCTGACAGTAGTTTTGCTGTCGACAAAAATAAACATGATTAATTTGTTTAGATTAACATTTGACTTGGAATCTGGTTCCTAGTTCAGTTTAAATGGGAGGAACGTGCTAGCGCTTTCCTCTCTGGGTTCATCATTATGTGACACTTTAGGCATTGATTAGTAAAACAGTTGTTTGCGTAAAGAATTTTTTTTACTTATTTCTCTTTTTCTTTATGTATTTTCTCCTCAGATTCTGGACCAATCCTGTGGTCAAATCCATGAACAGGGAGGTACTGAGGAACACAGCAGTCAGGTGAGACAAAATGATTTTGTGGGCTTTACATGGCTTTGTGAGGATTTAATCTTTTGACTTCTGTCAAAGTCTTTTCCGCTATATTCTGAAACATTTTCTTTACATACCTTTTTTTTATTTATTTATTTTTTTTTAAACCATCCTCTGTTTTTCACAGTGGACACACACAGCCCAGAGTAAATGATTCTGGGTAGTGTTAGCACTTTCTGCTGTACCAGGGTGAGAGACAAATATAAACACAATCTTGAATCCGAGCTTCGTATCGAAATTGGAACTTGTTACAAGATCACAGCATTACATGTGCACCCTCTGTTGTCTCTAGCAGACTCTGTAACCTGCTGTCCTGATTGGCTGAGCATTGGGCCAGTGAGGTTGAAGGGGGAGGAGACAAATGCTGGGATTTCACCCCCTCCCAGTTTTTCAATCAGAAGCATTTTGCTCTGCCACTGTTGAGGAGCTAACTAGTTACTGTGGCAATTTGATAGGGGACCTGGATTGTTTTATGTCTTATTTATTTCATTTCACCACAGACTTAGCTTTATACTGTCTGGTCTGCTGAGACAAACTGCTGAAGATGATCCTGTAAGCAAACATTCAGGTGTAGTTAAAGTCTAAATAGGCTTTTCTCTCAGGTTTAACTGCCTTTTCAGGACTTAACAGTGTCCTGTGGTGGGGTAACTGCTGATGAGTGGCATTGCGACAATGGCAGCTGTAGTTTGTTGTGTTAAAAGGCAGCAGAAGTATGTAGAACAATGCAAAGTCTGATCTGGTGGTTGAGTACCACCTAGTGGTACTTCCTAGATAGTGTTCTAGGAGCAAGGATAGTGGTCTTGGACAATTGAGGTGGACATAGCTGCTGAACTGAACGTAACTAGGTTAAATTCAATATTTGGGAAAATTGACTTCTCTCTCTCTCTCTTACATTACTTTTACTTAAGTAAAAGAAAAAGAAAGTGAATAACTTACCACCTTGTCTGTCTCTCCAGTTTACGCAGGTGAAAAAATGGAAGTCGCTGTGCCGGAAGAGCCTCAGAAGAAGATTTTCCGTGCCCGGAAAACTATGAAAATGAGTGACCGTCAACAGCTGGAAGCGCTCCACAGCACCTTGTCCAACGTGGCCTCCAACTCTTCGTCTACCCCCTCCTCTTCCTCACGGCCACAAACACCGCTGGTGAATGGAACCCACATGGAGGATGGACAGAAGGTGAAAGAGAAGGAGAAAGACTTGCAACGGCAGTCTCCCTCTCTCTCCGACTCTCGATCGCCCTCACCTTCTGTGAAGAAAGGGTCAGAGAAGGGCAAAGGTGAGGAGAAAAAAGGAGAGAGGAAGGATGAAAAGAAGCCAGAGGAAGCCGACACCGACAAGATGGAAGTGAGTGCACAGTCTGGTACTGCGAGAAGTTGGATGTGAAACCGCTTCTGCAGCTTGTTTACATACATTTGCTTAATAGCGCAAACCCATCATGCCATGCATTACAGATAGTGGAAGTCAAGGAACATATTGTTGCCATAATTAGAGAAATCTGTCAATCTGAAAGTTTTCAGGAGAGGAGAGGGGATTTGTGTAGTTTTACCAGAATTGCGTCAACTTCAGTTTTAGTGCAGAAGTGTGAATCGGGAATGTAGTCTGTCTGTGTTTTTTCAAGGGTGTTTTTAGGCAAAAACTTGCCAAAGTGTATTGCTACATTATTTCTCTCCTTATGTGATTATATAACTAAAATCCTTTTTTTTCCCCCTCTCAGACCTCTAAATCTGACAGGAAGGGTGACCCGAAAAAGACGCCTGCGGACCAACTGTTCAATGGAGAGACTGCCGCCATGGATACAGATGGCGCCCCACTTGACAACGGTTCAGCAGAGGAGAAGGAGGAGAAAGGCATTAAGAGCTCCTCGTCTTCTGCTTCTGGTTCTCCTGCTGCCGGCCTGGAATGCGACCCGGAAGTGAAAGAGGGCTTCCTGTTTCTCAGTGAGGAAGATGAGGGCCAGGGAGAGCGGGATGAGGTGAAAGAGAAGAGCGAGGAGAAGATGGATCTGGATGCTGTGAAAGACGAGAAGAAGGAGGCAGAGGGTGCGCAAGGATGTAAAGCTGCAGATAGCACAGGTAATTAGTGCCCTTCCAAAAAGCAATAAAAAATGTGGAGAGACAAAGAGTGAATACTCTGCCTTTCTCTACGTTTCAAAACCAGCAGGTAGTGCTCAAATAATTCTGCCACACACACTTTAAACAATCGAAGGCATGCTGCTGCAGTTCAGTCCAAACTTGCAGTGGAGTTACAAACCTACGCTGTGGCACTACTGAGGTGCTAATTGTTGTGCATAGTTGAATTTTGCATTTTATGTAACAATCCTTGCTGAAGTCTTAAGTTCAGTAGACACTATTCTTGTACATGTGCTAGACAATAATCTAATCTTAGCTTGACTAGGACACACCCATCTAAATCACTAACACCATCTGTCTTTAATATAACCACATGGTTATTTTTGAGAGTATGATAGTGATGTTTTCACTATCATTTTTTAATTTCTGACCTGGAATAATACGTCTTACATTCTTGTCAACAAATTGAGGATCCAAATTTTAGATGCAGTGTACATTCTAAACCAAATACACTGCATCTCCTTTCCTCATAAACAGGCAGTGGCACCCCTGCAGCTAAGAAGAGGTCCTTCTCACCAGAAGGGGGGAAAGATGGACGAAAAGATGTAGATATTAAAGAGGAAAGAGATGGGAAGAGAGCAAGGGTGGAGGGAGTGGAGCTTGAGGCCCAGCTAGAGCTGAAGATCACAGCCAATGCAGGCAGCCGTCTGAAACTGGAAAAGGTTTGCTTGTTTATCATATATGAGTTTTAGTGTGGCCATGTGACCCATACTGGATTTCAATTTATAAAACTGATATTTACGGCTCTAAAATGTGATTGGTTTAGCCATGTTTATAACAATGTCATTATAACACATATGACTGCATATAGTAATTGAGTCCCTTATTAATAAAGTTAACTCTGAACCATAGCTTACTGTTAACGAATAATATAGCTTGGCTTAAATTGTTGATTGTGATTATTAGTATTAATTAATTGTGTACTTACATGTACTAATATGTATTTTAGCTTATTGTAGGTTGTCTACATTTTATAAGGCAATTAGCCAGTTGAGGCTTTGCATTGCAGTGAAGTAATCATGATTAATGTTGTTTGCTGCTGTAAAATCACTGTAACGTCCAATTTTTGCTTTTTAAACGATGTTGCCAGTTTTGGGTCCACTTGCATCTTTTGCATTTGCTAGTGTTTTCTGTTCTTTATCATGTCATTTGTTCAAATCCATTCTCTCAGGTGGTGCAGCAGCTGGTGGAGGATCGGTTGCGGGTGCTACAGCTGACCGTGTTTGACCGCAATCTCAAAGAGCTCAAGGACCGGGTGGAGAAGATAGACTCTGCCACCAAACAGCAAAATGCTCTTCAACACATCAGCACGCTGCAGGTGAGTGCTGACCCAGGACCTGCTGCGGCATGTTTTTCTAGTTTTACTCATGAGGATATGAAAGAAAAACTTGCCGTAGATTACTGCTCTTATTCTGGCATGTGCTGTGAACAGACTTGAGACTTACATGAGGAAGCATACATTAGCATATAAGTGGTTCCCAAGACTGAATATTTATCAGAATTATAGTGATTAACAGGGTGTAAGAAGGTGTATGTTGTCATTGTTAATTGTGAGAAAGTTTGTAAACCTTTTGGAATTAACTTTATTTCCATATCAGCGGCTCCTAAAATGTAAAAGCAAGCACCACCCACGTTTTGCAAAGTCAAATATTTATTAAACTTTTTCAAATAATCAAGTATCTCGGCCTCTGTGATTTAGTATCTTGCACTATTGGCAATAATCTTCTGTGCAGTGCTTTGGAGGTGTTTTGAACTATTTGATTGCTGCCACAGCGTTCAAGGTCAGGACTCTGACCTGGCCATTCTAACAGAATGATACAGACTGAATTCAAACAGACTGAATTTCTGTTTGGACCACACTCATTTTGTAATACATTCTGCTGCAGAAGTTCCTGTTACAATTTGGGATTAATTGGTTCTGTGATGACTGCAGGCCAATCTGGTCCTTCATACAATTCAGCTGCCTCCACCATGCTTCACATTTGGGATGAGGTTTTGTTGTTGGTTTGCAGTGTTTTTTTTCCTTAAGGCATGTAGCATTATGGGGGATGGTCTAAGATTTAAGCGTCAACATATAAGCCAAAAGATGACAAAACAGTTGTTCACAAAAAAGGCCTTTAGCATTATGTGCATTCACAAACACCAACCTTTTTTCTTAGCTGACCATGGACCACAAACCTTGGACAATAATCTCTTGCTTCATTGCATTGCGGTCAACAAATTAAGGATCATTCAAGTTTGAGATGAATTGCACGTGCAGTAGAAGCTAAAATACGCTGAAATATCATGAACTTCCTTATATTCTTTCTGCCAGTGGTTGCCTTTGTGATAACCATTCAGAAACACCACTCTAGTTCGCTGTCCGATCATGATCACGGGTGTTGTCAAGTGTAGGAGACGACTGCAGATCCTCAGCTGTCACTCAAGTGTTCTTTGTTGCATATTTGAGCATTCTACAGTGAATCTTCACACTGATCATTGTAGGATGCTCACTCCTAGGAAAAGCCGTTGACGGTCCATTTACAAATTAACAATGCACTAGAGGAGCCCCAAGTCCTCACAGATTCTTTTCTAACCCATTCTAGTCTTAGCAGCTTCAGCCTTTTTTTCCTGAGTGCCTCCAGAATCATTTGATCGAGAGCAGATAACCAAAAACTCAGATTTTTTTTCCTCACATTTGTTGCACTTGGTTTGTCTTTGGTTTCAGGCTAAGATTTCACGTCTGTCCAAGAAGTTTGGAGCTGCTAACCAGGCAACAGAAAATTCCAAAAAAGCTCAAGAGGTGAGTTGGTGTCTTGTAGCTAAAGCAACTCGTTAGGGGTAGCCCACTTTTGACGCTGGCCCTTATTCATCAAAGAATAAGGTTTTGAGCACAAATGATAAATCAGCTTCAGTTTGTAATATCAAGCGCCAGCCTACCAGCACCAAATTTATGTATCATTTACAAGAAGCATGCCCTAATTCATGCAGATGTTTTGGTAGAGAGCCAGTAAAAAAAACAGCATTTAGCATCTCGCAAGCCAGTGGCTGTTCTTGTAGAGTTTGAGGTCAAGCAGTGAGCACAGTACTCCCCCTACTGACCAAACTTCATAGTGTTAAAATTACGATAAATGGAAAGGATAAAATGTGAGAAACAAAACATCTGTTGTTTTAAGAAGGTAGAATGATGTAATTGTGTAAAATAACACATTTAAATGCTGTATTACTACAGTGTATGAGATGCTCCTGCACTAGCTGTGTTTCAGATTTTTCTGGCAGCATCAGTAATATAAAACAGAAGCACAGTGTAGTAAAATGGAACATGGAATAATTGCGGCAAATGCGTACATCCACTTTTGTACTGGATTACTGTGGACCTAAATTATTAGTATTATTCTTTATTTTTATGCTTAAAATTGATATTGTAGATGATGCTGTTAATAGCTTTGGTTAGTTAACCATGAATCAAGCTTTTTTTAGGTTGTCGGATGTTTACGCTCAAATTTATTCACATTCCTACCAGCTCGTGAGTTTGATGCAACAGATGAAATTTGGTGAAAATTGCGTGCAATCGTTTTACGATCAGATTTGACCATGAGCAACTTTGAGAAATAAGGGCCATTATATGCTAACAGCAAAGACATACTATATTACGTTATTATATTTTACTACTATGTTGTATGTATCAGAAATAGTAATGAGTACTTCTGCAGGCTGCTGCTGCAAAGGCTGCTGCCACAACCAACACCACCACAGCAACTCAGCGGTGAGCACTTTCTGCATTGGGGCTAATTTAATCTAAAGACTGCCTGAGAGAGAACTGCTGGTTCAACTTCACTTTGGTTTACTGCTCCTCTTCAGAAGCACAATTAGTAGACCAAGACTCCTCCTTGTGGCTAAAATAGAAATACTTCTACGTTTGCATTTAGTGTTCCAAACTTTTTTGGCGTTTTATCATTTGTTGTTTAGTTGATTTTAATGTTGTTTTTTTTTTGTTTCTTATTTATAGCATCGAAAGGACCACACTAGATCCGAAGCAGCCCAATGCTCCGGGGTCGACCAGCTCTACCGGTGAGATTTTGTCTTAAAATTAGGGTCTGGAACGTTTTGCATGTTTTTGAATTCATGATTCTGGCATCCTATTTAATTCTGAATTGGTGTCAAAATCGTTTACATTTTAAAACTGGATTAAAGACTTTTTTTGTGTCCTCCTTTAGCTACCCCAGCTCAGCTTAAACCTCTCTCCACTCCAACTACGCCAACTTCCTCTGCTTTGGCTGCTCCTGCCCCCATCCTTCAAATCCTCTCAACAACAACAGGCTCCACCCCTTCCTCCTCTACCTCTTCTCTGACCGGCCAGGCCCAGCCAGGCACTCTGCTGCTGCAGACCCGCCCCAATACGGGCGTTATGAATACAAACACGGCCACATCAGGGGGCCAGTCCATGTCCATCCAGCCTTTGCTGATTCAGCTGCCGCTGGCCATGGCCAATGGACAAGCAGGGACTTTAGCGGGGGGCGTTGGTCTGATCCCAGTGTCTTCACTGGCCACAGTTAATAATCTTAACAAAGCCAAGACCACCACAGCTACCACCACCATTATCCTGCAGAAGTCGGCGGGCAATGTTGTCTCGTCTTCCTCACCATCGTCATCCTCCACAGCTCCACAGATGTCGTCAGGCAGGTCAATGTATCAGGGCGGTTCAGGGGCTGTGAGTTCACCCAGTGCTGCTGTTTCTGTGACAACCGCCCGCACGCCAACGCAGTGCGCGGCCGTGGTGGGAGTGGCTACAGCCTCGTCGTCCCCAGCAACCACAGGCCCTGCAGCAACGGGTTCGGCTGCAGCCGCGACCTGTCCACCTTCTGCATCTGCAATGGCCTCTAAGACAGGTGTGTGTGCATGTTTGCGCCTCTACAATGTGTGTAAAGTACTGTTGGGTATTTTTCAAGATTACCAATAAGTCCATTTTATATGTCGTTGATAATAATATTGTTCATATGGTACATTTAAAAAAAAGTCTTTAGTCTGTTTGCTTAATCCATAAAAAATCAGCACTTTTTAATTTGGCCACATGATGGCATCAAGTGGTTTCTGTCAGTACCTGCTGAGCCTAAAATATGTTGTAAGCATCTTTTGAAAGACCTCCTTTGTGCAAAAAAACTAAAGCTGGCTTTATACTTCAAACAGAAACCGCGCCTTTTGTTATGAGACCTCGTCCTGTCCGCGATTGGTCAAAATATTACAGAGACACTTTTGTTAATGCACCAGTTTTGTTTTCCAGATTTCCAGACATGGAATTTAACTTATTAGGCGTATTAGAAAGATGTCATTTTGATTATATTTACGACTGTGTGTTTGCCAGTGGTTTTTCCATTTAGTTCTTTAGTCGTTTGTAATATATAGTTGCTTTGACCGTTACCTTTGCAGTGAATCATTTGTGTGTGCATTCCTTACGTTTCACACATGTTCCACGTGCTTTATGAGAGCATGGTGTATAATCTTTCTTTGTTATTCTCTTTTCACCTGCAGATAATCAAGCCTCTAACTCTACTCCAGCCAAATCTCCTTCTCAGGTATGTGTAGTATGGTCCAGCTTCACTGTTAGGAAATTTCTGTTTTGCCGCTATTCAATTCATACATAAACTCGTTGCCTTTCGGCAAAATTCACTGCTTTGAATGCTGAATATGCCATACATGTAAATCGTGTAGATTTGATGATTTTATAGTTTCGTAAAAGTGGGCCACATTGCCAACAGAAATCTATGAGAGATCCCCTCAGACACAGCACAGCAGCAATTCTTGGTCATTATGCAGGCAACACAAATATAAATAACACATTTTTATTTGCCAATCAGAACTATATCAGTTTCATTTTCAGATTCATTTTTTCAGTAGCTTGCAAGTGTTAGGTGACAAAGATTAACGTGTACATAGTCTTTGTTGACAACAGAGACAACCAGCTTTTATTTATTCTGCATCTGAAATTGATAATACATTTCTGTGGACTGGCATAATTGCCCTGAGAGCTAAATGAATGTCTATCATAAGTGGCAACCATCGGGGTCCAAGCACTGTGCAAGTAATGGAGCCAATAGAACACAATGTGTTTTCAGAATAGCCTTTATATGGCTCTCAAAAGATTTTGTATACACTGATCTTTTGACCTTGATATGGTAAGCAACAGATTTTTAACAAATAAGAATACCTAGAAAACAGTACAATATTTGGTTGACTTGCATTTGTGTAGTGAACTCAAAGAACTAAATTACTCCACAGTAATTACCCCTGTATTTTAGTGTCAGCATGTACCAGAATTTTATGTTATATCATTAAATTATTAATAATTAACCTAGTAACAGTGCTACTGGACTCTTCACCACAAGTGATTGGTTTCTGAACTTCCTACCTTTTTCATTTCTCATGAGTTTTTATGTGTTATGGCTTTCTGTTGTTTCCTCAGTCTGCTCGGCCCAAGAGTTCATTCATAGATCTGACTGAGGATGATGATGATGTGCAAGGTAAAAGACTACACCTCTGGTTTGCCTTTGTGCTTCCCCTTCCATTACCCTTTATCATTTTTCTCTCTTGTGTTGTGGTTATTTGTTTTGTGTTCCTTCACTCCCTCATTGTCCGGCTGGCTTTGTGTGTGGGTTTGTGTTGTTATAGTGACAGGCGTGCAGAAGGCTACTGCTTCCTCTATTACCACCACTACCCAGAGACTCTCAGGGCCACCCCCGTTAGTCAGCTCCACCTCTGTTGGTGAGTTTTTTTTTTTTGGGGTTTTTTCTTTTCTTTTCTGTCTTTTGTTTGTTGTTCTGTGTTGTAGACCTATACATCCCTATTGGTAAGTGACGTTCATTTTTTTTTTTCTTTGCTCGTGTCTCACATCGATCTTTCACCCTCTCACTCCATTTTACTCTCTTACCCTGGTTATTAAATCTGTGTGATCATTCTCATTTTGTTTACATATGAATTGCACAGCGCTTCATAAAAAGGTTCAAATTTGAATGAAGCTAGATGGTTACTTTTTGAGATCAGTTGTCATTTATTCTTTTTTTCGTTTTCAGCAGGTCGCTCTGCAGTGCAGCATCGACCCTCAGTGGTGAGTACATGCAACTACAATTCAATTTTCAAAAGAGAAAAATAAGTTATGAATTATAAATGCTTTGTTTTTTTCCACAATTAGATTGAGATGTATCACTAATACAAGCAACATTTTGTAGCTTGTCTTACTCGCCTATGTTCGCTATACATGGCTGAAGTTGAACAAATGTGATTTCTTTTGCGTACATGTGCTTTAGCTGTGAGAACACAAACCTTTTTTGAAATCGGATTTAAGGCACTTTCATGGGGTCCCAGATCAGAAATCTGATGCATGGTCATGTGATCGTAATAAGAATGATCAGATTAGAATTTTTTCCCTTCATCGTCCAGTGTGGGCAGAATATCAGCAGCATCTGACTCGAGTGTGAGGCCTATTCGCAAAAGGCCAGTGTGGCTGCGAGTTTTCATTCCAACAAAGTGTTGAAGACTTGGACCAGTTCGTTAAACAAGTGGAATCAAGTCTGTTCACTATGTTTACAGTTAAAACCTGCAGCCACACCAGCCCTTTGTGAATAAGATTGGATGCTCCTGGTCAAACTTGATCGTAGACTTTTAGTGTACAGGTTGTTTAGTCAGAAGTCTGTTTACACTAATAATAAATATTGGTTGCTAACACCAACAAATGTGAACGTATTAAAGTCATACTCTGGATTGATGATTCACTATTTCTGTGTCCATCCAGGACTTGCCTTCTAAATCCCGTCCAGGCTCATCCTCCTCGACTCCTCTTCCTCCATTGCCGCTAGCCCCGACCCCTCCTGCAAGGCTGCCCCCGGAGGCTGCCCACACCTCGCCACCCCAGCAGCCGCAGTTGAAGCTGGCCCGCGTCCAGAGTCAGAATGGTATCGTCCTGTCCTGGTGCGTCGCTGAAACGGATCGCAACTGTGCGGCAGTGGATAGCTACCACCTATACGCTTACCATCAGGACCACCAGGGGGCAGCAGCCAGTGGTGCTGCCTCGTCTCAGTCGCTGTGGAAGAAGATTGGCGAGGTGAAGGCGCTCCCCCTGCCCATGGCCTGCACTCTGACTCAGTTTGTGTCTGGTTCTACTTACTACTTCGCTGTGAGGGCTAAAGATGTGTATGGACGCTTTGGGCCATTCTGTGAACCGCAGTGTACAGACGTCATCAACCCGCCATCCTCGGGCTCCTCTTGAGCTGGATGAGTATCTTAGGCTGGAGAAGGAAAACTTGGTGTAGTTGGCGTAAAGGACAAATACACAAACATTGGTAAAAAATTGAATGATTAACTATACATCAGACTGCTGGTTTAGTTAAGACCTTTCTGGTATTAGAAATGGTGCGAGTGAGGACGGGACATTTCAAACATGCAGTACACGTGCGCACACACACACACACACACACACACACTAAAACACAGACCTGCACACTATCCAGTTTGACGTTATTTTAAGGAAACGTTGGAGTTGGCACCAGTGTGAATCCTCCCCTAAAAGGAATTTTCCATGTGTAGAATGGTTGTACAGAGTTAAGTGTTGAACCAATAGGTCAGATATTTATACGTTGTATTTGGTCTGTTCAAATCTTTTTTCTTTTTCTAAGGATAATTTTTTTTTTAATAAAAAGACATTCAATACATTGCACGTATGCTCCATAATATGGCCTGGTTTCAAACTACACAAAGTTGGTGGCATTAATGCTTTTGTAATGTTCTGTCTGGTAACCAGACACCCTGAGAACAACGTTCAAATAAAGGTATTGACTTGAAAACAAAATACAGTCCTCTCTGTCTCTTGAGTTTGATGTATGTCATTACATATTATAATTGTGTTCACTTCAACTAAATGCACTATATAGAACAGTATTGGGACACACCTCCTAATTATTGAGTTCGTGTGGTTCAGCCACACCCATTGCTAACAGGTGGATAAAATTGGGCACATATCCTTGCAATCTCAGTAGACAAACACTGGCAGTAGAATGGGTTGAGCTCAGTGGCTTTAAACATGGCACCGTCATAGGATACCACCTCTGCCACAAGTCAGTTTATGAAATTTCTATCCTGTTAGATCTGCCCCAGTCAACTATAAGTGCTATTACTGTAAAATGGAAACATCTAGGAGCAACAACAGCTCAGCTGCAAAGCGAAAGACCACGCAAACTCACAAAGTAGGACTGGTGAGTGCTGAAGTACACAGTACCTGTCTTCTGTTGAATCACTTACTAAAGAATTTTAAATTGCCTCTGGAAGCAACATCAGGAAAACTACTGTGCCTCAGGAGTTTTGCTAAATGGGTTTCCACAGCTGAGCAGCTACACACAAGCCTAAGATCAAAGTGCACAATGCTAAGGGGGCAGGGGACAGAAGTTATGTAAAGTACACCACCACTGGACTCTGGAGCAGTGGAAACGCATTCTGTGGAGTGACGAATCACACTTCTCTATCTGGCAGTCTGATGGACGAGCCTGGGTTTGATGAATGCCAGGAGAACGTTACCTGCCTGACTGCACTATGCCAACTGTAAAGTTTGGTGGAGGAGGGATAATGATATGGGGTTGTTTTTCAGGGGTTGGCCTAGAACCTTTCCCTGAAGGGAAATCATGTTGCTTCAGCAGACCAAGACATTTTGGACAACTCTATGCTTCCAACTGTGGGAACAGTTTGGAGAAGGCACTTCCATAAAGCCATGGGGGTGAGTTTGGTGTGGAAGAACTTGACTGGCCCACACAGAGCCCCGACCTCAACCCCATCAAACACCTTTCGGCTGAACTAGAACAGAGATTGCGAGCCAAAAGCTCCTCTAGATCAGTGGGCAACCACAAACACACTTCAAACTCTTGTAGAAAGCTTCCCAGAGGAATAGAAGCTGTTATAGCTTCCTATATATAGCTTCTATAGGGGGGACTAACTCCATATTATTCTCTATGGATTTATAAAGGGATGTCATAAAAGCTCCTGTGGGTGTAATGTGCAGGTGTCCCAATACCTTTGTCCATATAGTGTATGTGCACACCTGTGAGTCAGAATTAAAATGCAGTGACCAGTACAGCTGCTGGAACCACAGGGGGCTTTTGTCCTACCGCTTTTCAAAAAACTGGGATCGATTCCTCTGCACTTTTTGATTAAAGTTAGGACACTTTGGAAAATATACTGCACAGACAGACAAAAATGGTACACAAGGTAAATCAAGATATTGCATGCCTATTATAGTTAATGGAGCAAAAAGTACTAGAGTTCTGGTTTGCTTAAGCCTTGCATGGTCCAAGTGAAGCTTCTCACGGCTGCTAGAGGTGGAACCCTGAGGGCCGCGGGCCCCGACAGCATCAATGACGCAGGGAATGATGGAGAAAGTGGAAGGTGGCTAAGAGTAGCATTGCTGCTGCTGTTGTTGCCCCCAGTAGCACCATTCTTGACGCTCTGAGCTGTGAGCAGTTCCACTGTGCTCAGGAGGAGGACACAGCACTCTCTTGGGAATATGCATGGCTCCAAGTGTCAAAGTCAAGTCAAGTCAAAGTTATTTGTATAGCGCTTTTTACAACTGATGTTGTCACAAAGCAGCTTCACAGAAATCCATTAAGGACAAAGTTTTAACATAAAATGTAAATCCTCCAGGTGAGCAAGCCAGGGGCGACAGTGGCAAGGAAAAACTCCCTCAGAGCTGGGGAAGAAACCTTGGGAGGAACCAAGGCTCACAAGGGGGGACCCATCCTCCTCTGGTCAAACTACCTACAAAATTATTATTCTACTAATATTAGTAGTAGTAGTTGTAATAATAGTTAGGAGTCCACTTCAGTGTCGGGTGGGCAGCTAGTCCAAGGCAGGTGGCGGTGACTGGGGCGTGGGCAACTGGTCTGAAGCGGGTAGCAGGAGAGCTTGACAGACAATCGTCCATCAGTGTCTAGCCGGACAGGTGGGCAGTCGTTTATTCAGAAAAAAGGTAGAGAGATGGAGTTAGTTCAGTTCTGTATGGGTGTATGTATAATAATAAGTAAAACATTTCCAGAGTGTGGCTAATGACTCCGGCAGATCTGACTATAACAGCTTAACTAAAAGGAGAGAACCAAAAGGGCACACAGATACGGGAGCACCCTGAAACAATTTGGCATCCCTCCGCTCCACCGTCCATAAACCTGAGTGATCGCGTGCGAGTGGCGGGACGACAGCACCAACGTCTCAGTTTACTATAATTCCCTGCGTCCATGGACCCCTGGATCTGCTGCCTTTATCTAAGGGGAAACATTAACTACCAAAAGCTAAACTAAACAAATGAGTTTTCAGCCTAGATTTGAAGATCGCGACTGAGTCTGAGTCCCGAACATTTTCTGGAAGATCATTCCAGAGTTTGGGGGCTTTATAAGAAAAGGCTCTTCCCCCCAGCTGAAACCTTCTGAATTCTGGGAACTATTAAAAAGCCAGCACTCTGTGATCTGAGTAATCGTGGTGGCTCGTAATGGGAAATAAGGTCTTGTAGGTACTCAGGAGCGAGCCCATGTAGGGCTTTATACGTCAATAAAAGAATTTTGTAATCAATACGGAATTTAACAGGCAGCCAATGAAGTGATGATAGAACTGGACTGATATGATCAAATTTTCTAGTTTTAGTGAGGACCCTGGCTGCAGCATTTTGAACTAGTTGAAGTTTACTTAAATTCCTGCTGGTGCATCCTGATAGTAGTGCATTACAATAGTCTAGCCGTGATGTAATAAAGGCATGTACTAATGTTTCTGCATCATGCAGCGATAAGGCATTTCTTATTCTGGCGATATTGCGAAGATGTACAAAAGCTGTCCTAGTGATACTGCCTATGTGTTGAACAAATGATAAATCTGGATCAAGTATGACACCAAGATTTTTTGCTGCTGAACCAGGTATAACTGGAAAGTCAGCGAGATTTAAAGTTAAACCTGATAATTTATTTCTTGCCACTTTTGGACCCAGAAGGAGAACCTCTATTTTGTTACTGTTTAGAAGGAGGAAGTTACGCAACATCCAACCTTTCACATCTTTTACACAATCCTCTATTTTCTTTAACCTGTATTTGTCATCAGGCTTGGCTGATATGTACAATTGTGTATCGTCTGCGTAACAGTGAAAGTTAATGCCATGGCTACTTATAACTGTTCCTAACGGTAACATGTATAATGTAAATAATAATGGTCCTAAAATAGAGCCTTGCGGAACTCCAAATCTTACTTGTGAATAATTGGAAGATAAGTCGTTTACCTTTACGAACTGATAACGTTCCGTTAAGTAAGATTTGAACCATGATAGGGCTGTCCCTGTGATTCCAACCATGTTTTCTAACCTTTCTAGGAGAATATTGTGGTCTATCGTATCGAAAGCTGCGCTGAGGTCAAGTAGCACCAACAGGGATATGTAGCCTTGATCAGAGGCAAGAAGATCATTTGTTATCTTAACTAGAGCTGTTTCAGTGCTGTGATGTGGCCTGAATCCAGATTGGAATTTTTCATATATGTGGTTCTTATCTAGATATGAACTAAGTTGTTGGGCTACAGCTTTTTCTAAGATCTTAGATATAAATGGTAGGTTAGAAATAGGCCTGTAATTAGACAATACACTAGCATCAAGGTTTGGTTTCTTAATCAGAGGTTTAATAACTGCTAGTTTAAAAGTTTTGGGTACATGGCCAGGCTAAGGGATGAGTTTACTATAGTTAAAAGAGGATTAATGATAACTGGTAGCACTTCTTTGAGTAACTTTGAGGGAATTGCATCAAGTGTGCAGGTTGTGCAATTTGCAGAGGAGATAATCTTCTCTAATTCTGGCTGTGTGAGTGGGTAGAAAGTTTCAAGCCTTTCTTCTGCAACTACGTTATGTTTTATATCAGCCACGTCAGATGACAGCCAAGTTGGATTTAATACTGCGGGTTGAATTTGTTGTCTAATATTTTCGATTTTATTATTAAAAAAGTCCATAAAAACTTCACTGGTGAGAGTCGCCGGAATTTGTGGTTCAATACCTGCCTGATTTTTTGTAATTCTGGAAATCATACTAAACAGTACTCTAGGATTATATTTATTATTCTCGATCAGCGAGGCCAGATATGCTCAGCGAGCTTTAGTGAGAGCATTTCTATACTCTATAAAGCTGTCCTTCCAGGCCAAGTGGAACACTTCCAGCTTGGTTGATCGCCGTTTCCGCTCTAGTTTCCGTACTGTTTGTTTTAAGGTACAGGTTTTATCATTGTATCACGGATACAATACGTAGCTCATAAGAAATTAGGTAATGGTCGGAGATTACTGAGGTTTGCAGTAGGATAATAAGCCTGTCTATGTTAAGTCCGATTGTCAGAACTAAGTCTAAAGTGTGACTACAGTAGCCTGTAGGCCCTGTTACATTTTGGGTAATACCAACAGAGTCTAGGATTGAAGTAAATGCCTTTTTTAGTGGGTCATCTGCCTTCTCAAAATGGATATTAAAATCTCCTACAATCATTACTTTATCATTGCACACAGCTAGATTTGCAGCGAAATCACTAAATTCTTTTAGGAATTCTGAGTAGGGTCCCGGTGGTCTGTAAATGTTAAATAATGAAAATGTGTTCTTTTTTGTGGCCGGATTTGTAATGTTTTTAGAAAGAACCTCAAAAGAAGTGAAGGTGTCACATTGTTTTTGACTAATATCTAGGGTATTCTGGTAGATTACACCTAATCCACTGCCTTTGCCTGATAATCTTGGGCTGTGTACATAATTATAGCCTATAGGGGTGGCTTCATTTAGTGCTGAATATTCATCCTGGCTGGCTGTTCCCA